AAAAAAAAATCAAATAAAATTAAGGTGCACTGGCTGTTGCTGGCCGTTGTGATGTGCTGATCCACGGACAAACCAAAACTGAAACACCCTGAGGGCGGGCGGGCAGCGCTAACGCATCCAAAATACACACGGCCTGTTGGTCTGCTTTTGTACAGAGGGTCACAGAACAATATATTAAATGAAAGTTGACTGCATGCTCATGGAGGACAATCAGAGAGTAACATAAACCCGTAGGATGGGGATCAATCCAAGGTGAATTGGATCAGGTGTTCCTTATTTTCACTGTAGTGTGGATCCCTTCTTTTTAACCCAGTTTCTAGTAAGGACACCAAAGCACTTTTTCCATCTTCCTTGGTGATGGGGAGGGAGCTCAGTATGGAATGTCAGTATGGATGTCTGGCTGGTAATTTTGGAGGTACCACTTATTTTTTGTCACTAAGACAGTGTGCTCATCAGAGCAGCAGGCTCATACACTGTGGAGCAGGACCTTGATCCCTGCATTCTAGGATTCTAGGGATTGGATACTAGGAATGGCCACTACCAAGAACAAAACAGTTCCTTTAGAACCAGCTAGGAGAGGCTCATTTAAAATCAATCACAAGAAGGGTAATCTGAAACAGGGAAAGGTATTTGGAGGGATCCTATAAGAGATTTTATGTCTGGGCTGAAATATGTGAGAATTGAAAGTAGCAATTTCTTGTCAACTTCCCAGGGGAAAATTTTTGTTTTGATTTTAACACGTGGTTGTTTTGGTGGAATTCACCTCAGGAGAGGTTGGATGTTTACAGTAGAGGTGTCTAAGTAAAATGGACATCCTTAGGACCCTGAGAAACATCAGAATAAAGTTGAGAGAGAAATACACAATTATTGGCCAGGTACATCTGACCTGTCTTAGATGTCCAGTCTAGGATGGGATGAACACCAAACACAACTGAGTACCCTGACTAAATATCCATTAATATAAAGGATAATACCTTGATTTTTAAAGCAATTGCTTTCAAGGCAAACATTTAAGTTTGTTCAACCAAACCCAAATCCATTTGTGTGACACGGTCTAAGACCTGTGTTTGCAACTCATAGAATTTATAATCTGAACAGTAAACCAAGATGAATTGAAAACATTAAATTTCTCTCTACTTTTACCTCCTTTAAGTCAATCCCCATTACTGGAGTTATGTTTTGCTTCCTTTTGGATAATTAAAGCCTGATAACTGTGTTGTAATTAAATATTACAGTATAAGAGCTGGAAAGAACACAGTCTTGTGGCATGTACAAATCCAGCAAATTGGTATAGTAACCATGTTTCAACTCCTAAAATGAATTTCAGTTCTTGGATGTTGCTGAGGATGTAAACATGAAAATGACTGCTCCTTTTGCACTATAATTTCTGTACTAGATTTTTGCACCACCTGCTTTTCACAGAGCTGAGTTGGGCATTAATTGTCCACTTAGACTGATCAAAAATGAGCAAGGAGATTTTGGGGCTAGTTCCATTTTATTGTGACAGGCTTTCAGAAGTGACTATGGATTTTGAGTGCCACTCATTTTTTTGATCACTTGATCTGAAACCCATTTCACAGACCGATTTTTACCACAAGAGGGCTGCTCAGCCTGTGTTGAAAAGAAGCACTTAGGAGGCATATTAAGGTACAGAACCTGAAAAAGAAGCATCTAAAAAATCAATAATCACTTTGAAAAGTCTTAGCCATGGGTTGTTGTAGAGGTTTGTGGTCTTCAATGATATACTTAATGTTGCCATGGCAATCTAGAAATAAATTCCCCTCCGTGTTTCCTTTAGTGCTTATGCCCTGTTTTATTTGATAGAAATTGATTTTTTTATGTTTTCCTGATGAACAGACCTATCATGACAGCATTTGGTATTTACTAGAATTATTAAAAAAATAGACTTGATTTTGAAAATATTATCTAAGGATAATATATAATAAGGATAATATCTAAGGATTAACTGCTGCTCCCCACCCAGTGAGGGGACATTTACACACAGGTTTGTGATGGAAAACAGTGCTAGCACTTCTTAGGAAAACCTTAATATTTTAGTGCTGTTAGCACTTACTCTCTGCCATTTCTGATTTCAGTAGAGTCATCTCTCTGATCTTAGATGGTGTAAAGTGTCCCAGATCTTTAGAGTACAGAATTTGTAGACGTTTTCTTTCCTTTCTCTCTCCCCTTTTATTTTGCAAAGTTTATTTATTACCAAAGTAGAGACGTTGGTGGAAGGAAAGGGAGAAAGAGAGAAGAGACAGAGGAGGCAGGAACCAGAAAAAAAAAAAAAAAAAAAAAAAAAAAAAAAAAAAAAAAAAAAAAAAANAAAAAAAAAAAAAAAAAAAAAAAAAAAAAAAAAAAAAAAAAAAAAAGAAGGAGGGAAAAAATAGACAAATATAAGGAAATGGACAGAAATGAGATCATGGGTATGAAAACACTACACGGATCAGGGCAGGATCCTCAGAGCTCTGTAGGCACACAGAGAACGGAATCGGTCACATCTAACTCTACGTGCCAAAGACAGGTTCCAAACTGAACTACCACCTTGAACTCACTCAGGGAAAGCACAGGGACTCCCAGGCTGAGCTGGCCTGTGTGACAGAGACATCTAAGGCACGGGGGGATGCTCTGTCTGAGCGAGGTGCCCTGCTGTCCCCGAGTGACCACAGACGACGACTGGACCGCTCAGATCGAGCACGAGACTTTAGACAGCTAAAGGCAAACAAGCTGAGTCTCACCGCAAGTGTCCTGGGCAGGGACTGCAGCTGCATCTGGGAGGAAGAGGGAGGGTGCTAGGGTGGAAGGGGAAAGAAAAAGTTAAACACTCCCGGGATGAAATGAGCCATGGATGATGTGGCTGCAGGCCACCGCAGCAGACCGAACACCTTTGGACGCCTCAATGCAAATGAGAGAGAGCACAAATCTGAGGCAAAAGGGGTTGCAGTTCAATTCCAGATGTCTCAGAGGTGCTTAAGAGGAATTGAATGAGCATGCTGATCCAGGGGAAGGAGGTTATGCTGCATTATCCAAGTACATCCATAATGAAAATGGTCAGAGTTCTGAATTTAGGTCGCTACCAACACACAGGGAATGATGAGGTTTGTGCCTTGTCTCTGAATGTGCTGAAGGGAATCCTTGGGGAAATGCAGTAAAGGTAGAACTTGATTCATGCAAATTAAAACTGTGCCTCCTGAAGGATCTTTGTGCACCCTGCTCGAGTAATTCTATGTAACTTCACCACGAGTAGGACTGCAGCTGTGTAGTAGCAGGAGAAGGAATGCAGAAAGAAATCAATGAAATAAAGCATTGAAATACAGTAGAAACTTAACCAAAGTGGAAGTAGAGAGATTGTATGGGAGAGAGAGGAGAATATTGAAAAGTGGATCCGTATAATGTATTATTTATGTCACACACCCACTTCCCCTCAGCTCTTCCAGAGATATTCCCTAGGCTGGGAGACATCTTCTCCTTGCTGCTCAGTAGCTGAGGATTCCCTGAAGCTGCACTTGTTTCCCTTCCAAACACCAACTACATTCACAAGCCCCATGGCCTTAGAGATCAGGTGGAAAAGTCTGGAAAACAGAACTTGTTCAGTGGGCAACAAACAGACTGTGCAATTCCATCCCACTGCAGTGGCTGCAGCTCTGACCCACTGTATGCAGGCAGAGTCCTTCACCCTCTCATCCAGAGTAAGCACAGATGTTTCTCAGCAAAGTTGTCTTTTAGTTGTATCTCCTCTAGATTTTGAGGTTAACAAAACAGCTCAGTGCCTTTTTCCTTGTCACCCCATGCCAGCCTGGCAGTTACTGGTGAGAAGCAGGCCATAAAGTGAGATTTACCTCACCTACCTTAAACTTGTTGTTTCAAGTGAAATAAACTGCACTAAAGGATTTTATTCTCTCGACTGGGTAGGTCTGTACTGACTGTGGAAGGAGCCCAGCAGGATTGTTTTATTAAACCAGGCAGAGCCTCTGCTGTCATGCTAAAAGCACAACAAATATTGTGCTCTTCATGGAAAACAAACAAATAATTCCTCCCCCAAAAAAACCAACAACAACAAAAAAAGGAAACAGTGTCTCTAGCCTTTAATGGAAAACAAATTCCAAATTATTGTTACCTAGAGTTCTGCTTTTCCTTGCTAATGCCACCAAAATAAGAAAATGAAGCTGAATGAGTGCTTGCAGATTAATGCCATGGTTAAAAACAAATGTTTGACAAAGATGAATTTGGACTGGAACTTTTTGTCCAGTAAATCTGACCCTCGGGTAGATCTGAGGCTTGAAGCTGAAACTGAATGGTCAAAGAGAGTCAAAAATCTAATCTACAGTGTTCATTCTTGGCTTTTCTAACTTCTACAGAGTGGACATAAAAAGAAGGAGAACACCACTGTTATACTTGGAGTTAAATAATGAAGAGATTAAGCCTAATATTTGCCTAGAGAATAAAGCTGGTAGCAGAGGGCAGAATTCTTCCAACAAAAACAGCCTTTAAATGAACTGTAGCTTCAAGGTTCTGTGTCCTGATTCTTCCCCTGTATTAATTCTGGAGCTCCTGTTTTACCAAGCTGGTTTATTCTCTCTGACTCCAGAGCACAGATCCACAGATCCATGCACTGTGGAATAATTTTTTTTGGAGGTGCAGTAGACAATAGAGTGTTCAATGAGAAAAATGTACCATGCCAAATGAGATTCTTAAATAAATTAAGATTTTCAATACTTTAGTGTTTCAAATGAAGAATGTGCATATCCAAATCCAGGCATAAATATCTGAGAATGGGATTTAGCTCATTGTCCTCAAAAGAAAGCAAATGAGCA